TATAAATTATTTTATATATTTAAAAATATTTATTTATCCAAATTTCATATATAACTTATATATTCAAATATAATATTTATTTATATACATAATTTATTTTAGACAAAATAATAGTTATGATCAGGATTGTGTGGCAATATCAAGGTGAGTGAGGGCACTGTCTTAGATCCCTTAAAAAAATATGTTATTTAAAAGGTTATTTTAATTTAAATTATTAAATAATACTTTTATATGTTAAATTTGATTATTTTCTTATGCTTAACTTATTTGAACAAATGTCAAAATATCAAATCAATTTAAATTTTTACATCAATCTTAATAAATACAAGTTTAAAAAGAGAATAAATAAAAAAAAATATATTATATTAATTTAAAATAAATTTAAATTTTAGTGAACATTAAGTTGGTATTAGTGGTACTGGGTTGTTTTCTAGATTAAAAATATTAAAATAAATACTAATAAACAAATTAATATCTTATTTAAAATATTAAACTATATTAAAATAACTTTTTTACTTGCATGCAAATTTTATAAAATAGTATTAAAAATATTTGAAATTATAGCCATTGTCAAAAAAAAAATTTAATTAATTTAGATAAATTATATGTGTTGCGATATGATAATTGAATGAATTATCATTAAATAAAATATTTAAATTATTTGGTTATGAAATCTTAATTAGTAAATCTCTATTGTCCAATAAGCTAATAAAATAAATAGGATGAGTTATATTAGAGCATGACTCATAATATAATCAAGTTATGACATGATTGATAAATAATTTTGTCTCTTAAATATGGTATTAAAGTTTTATATTTGGTCTATGTATAGAAAAAATATTTGTTGTAAGAGATCAACCTCTTAAATGAATCTTAGTACTTTAAAGGAATAATACTAACTTCTAACTAAGAGGTTTCTTAGTTGACCAAAAAACAATATATGACTCAAAATTCGTTTAAGGATTCAAATTTTCTAGACAAGGCCTTGTTCAAAGGTGTTCCTTCTCTCTTTCTTCCTTAATTCACTTCAATCTCAAGGTAAAGGAAGCTATACTTATTTTTGTAGAACTGTTGAAAATTAATGTTGTTTGATTCCCTGAAATGGTGGCTGGATTGTTGAATCTTGGATAGAAATGGGTGTGTATTGAGTTTGGGTGCTTTTGATGCATGTTGAAGTAAATTGGTGATTTTGATTAAGTTAATGTTACATGTTACTTTTGTGGTTGGATTTGAGTTGTTGATGATGTATATGTTGGATTTGCTACAATACATGTTGAGTTATTGATTTTCAGGTGACAGGAAGGCTATTTTGAGAGGCTACTAAGTGTATAACCCCTCATCTCACTAATCAGACCTTTAGGATGTTAAACGTGGCTCGAATCAATGGAGTAACACTTGGCATGAAAGAGAGACTCATCTCTACTTAAAATGGGGCTGGACTTTGCCACGTCAAACTTGAGGGCCCAATAATTCCTTACCTCATCCACTTTGAGTGAAGCTTGAATGACATTGTGTGTGAGAAAGGTAGAGAGTTTCCTATCTCAATAGTGTTGGACGCAATGCAGATATTATCGAGCATCAAATGCCTTGTAAAATTTTGTTATTTATTGATGATATAGGAACATGTAAAGGTTAGGTGAATATATTCCATGGTGTATGTTGATAGATGATATTTGTTCTATGTTATTGTTATGGAAACATGAAAAAGTTTTTATTATACAATGTTTGATTACTATACATACACATATACATTTGTATAATTATGTTATTCTCTTTCGTTGGATTATATACATACATACACACACATATATATATATATATATAGATATTTGATTATATTAATTTTAAATAATTAGTTATTTTTTATTGTTAATCGTTGATTTCATTAAATTAAGAATTATGGTAAATCATTACACTTCTTTAATAAAAAATTGATGATTATAATCCTTGATAACTTAATTTATTTAATTATATTTTGAAAAATCAAAATCGTACCATTGAAAAATTGATATATGCAGGGCAAATATGAGAGTGAAGTATCTAGTCATTGATCATTCAACCACAAAATCGATATTTTTCGGTGTAAATATTCATGAAGATAGATAACCATAACTTTTTAGATTCCCAACTATATATACTTTTTCAAAGTTTTGCATCCCTCCCCAAAGAATTCCCGTCCACCGAACGTGCATGGGTCAAGATGTCATGAACCGCACAATTTTTTTTATATTTTTTATCATAATATTTATAAAAATATCGATCCTCAAAAATTAATTTTATTCAAATCTTGATTATATTAGTTTTATTCCTCTTAACATCAATTTTTTTTATTATTAAACTTTAAATTCAAACTCGAGATTTTGAGATTTAAAGATCAATCATAGTACTAGTTAGATCAACAATTTCATAATATTTTTTAAATTATTTATATTTAAATATCAAAATAAGTAGTAAAATTGAAATATCATGTATTAAAAAGAAATATTTTTAAAAAATTATTATTAAATGAAATAAAAATAATTAAAATTTATTTATATTTTAAAAAGTGTTTTTTTTACTATAATAAAAAAACAGAGGAAGTATGTTTTAATGTTTGTCGAAAACTTTTTAAATTATAACTGGCAGAAATGATTAAAAAATAGAAGGCTAAATTGCTGGTTTAATATTTAATCTAATATTTTAATTTCTTACTTGTTATTATGTACTTTTAGTCTCTAAAATTTGTAAAGTTTGTAATTTTAATTAAATAGTTAAATATTCTTCACTCATTAATATTTATTCATTGATTTTTTTTAATTGAATTTGTAATTTAATTAAATAGTTAAATATTCTTCACTCATTAATATTTATTCATTGATTCTTTTAATTGTTAAATTGGTCTTTATGTTTATCTCAATTTCATTTTCTTTTATTACTTTCACGAGAATAAAGATAAAAAATTATAAAATTTAATTTAATTTAAGCATTATTAAAAATTATCACATTATCTATTTAATAAATAGTCATAACCTATATCTTCTATACATATATATTTATTATTTTTCAAACAATCACTATCTAAATATTTTTAAAATATGTACTCAAGATATTTTTTTTATTAGTTAACAATATAAATATCTCTATATTAATATTGCATTTTTTTTATAAACCTATTTATTTCATTTTCTATCTACTTAAAAGAAACGTAGCTGTTCTAAAAACAATAGAAATGTAGCCTCTCTTGAATAGCATGAAATGCCATCACCAACCTTAGAGGTCTATATGACCTTTCAAATTTCAATCAAACTCAATCACATATAGACAGTAAACACGTACCAACTAAAAGGTGGGACCATATACTTAAAAAAAGTCTCATTGAAGCTAAAACATATGATCTCATTCATTATATAAAAACAAACTCAATCTCATACATATTAGTATCATAATCTCTAACTATAATGTAGTTCAACAATAATTTTTATTTTTATTTATATACTTAATATATATAGTTTCTTAAAATTTTAAATTAAGGATTAATTTATATTTATAAGATATAATTTTTGTTAATCAAATATTATTTTAATATTGCAAGAATTGATTTTGAAAATATTAAATTGACTTCCAAATCCTAAGACAAACCTTACAATTAAGAGATTTGGTTTCAACCATAAGTCTTTAGTACATTACAATATTTTTCTTAATTATGAATTAAAGAAATGAAGTGATTTTACATTTTATTTTTCTTTTTGTTATTCCTTTATAAATAAGATGAGCCAACTTACCTAATCCACTTATCTATAAAATGGATTAACTTATTATTTTATTTTTCTACTCATAAAAGTGAATTAACCTTATTTAACTCACGTTTCTGTTAATTGTGGTGAGAAAAATATAGTCAAAATAAAAAATTAAAATTATCTATTCATTTTATTTTCTATATTACTTTTATATTTTTTTTCTTTATCTCTCATCTCCTTTTTAGTTTTTTTTTTGCACCACTTATTATATCTATCATCTTCTCTCTTTTTCTATTTTTCCATCTCCCGTCTCTCTCCTTTATCCATCAGAATCCACCTCATTTTGAAGTGAGCGTGAATCATTATTCATTACCTTGTTTTAAATAAACTAAGTCTGATCCTTTTGCATTTAATTTACAATTAAAAATTAATTTTGTTCTATATGAATTGTATATTAAAGAGAAATATTTAATAATTATGTACATGATGATCATGTATTCAGATATTTGTTTGAACTATAAATTCTGATCCATCGTGTATTGTGCTCGAGAGATTTTGAGTTACGTATATATGGCATATCATGTTTTATATTGAACCAAAAAGTGGTACATCCAAATCAAAGTAAATTATATTATATATTTAAGATTATTCAATGATCACGCACATGTATTTAATATAAATAGAGTTTCATATTATTAAACAAAATAAAAAATAAAAATTTATAAAATACACACAATTTTATAATCTTTAATATATATAATTTTATTTTTAGTTATCACCTGAAAGATTTTTGATAAATAGAATATATATATATCATAAACTTGTATTTCTCTTTTTGTTTAACAATCAAATTTTGTTTATATCCTAACAATCCTCTCCTTAAATAAATAATTTAATATTTTATTTAGTGAATTTTTTTTCATATTACAATTTTTTTGTTATTATTTATATGTATGAGTTATGAGTTGTATGAGTTATGAATTATTATCAAATTTATTATTAAAGTTATGTTGTACTTGTATTTTATAAATATATATTTTTATTAGATAAACGTGATTTAATTTTATTTATGAGATATTTATATATGGAGAAAATATTGTAATACAATAATCAAATCTTGATATTATTCTATTCTTAAAAATAAGGAAACAAATTAATAAATAATAAAATCAAGTTAAATCTAGATATTTGAAACATAAATAAAATATTTCTATTAAGACTAATTTATTTTCCTTAATATATTTAAATATATCCCCCAACAACATGGTCAAATATCATATAATTTGTGTGAATTAGGAATATAGTATTTATTGTATTTTTTTATTAGTTCATAGAATTTATTATATGTTTGGCTTTTAATAAAATTTGTAATTTCTTTGATTTATAATTCGCACTTATATTTTGAACATATTGTTATATATATAAGATGTCATGTTTAATGTTAGGTCCAAAAAATTCATCAAAGTTAACTATCTAAATCATGATTTTTATTGATATAATTAAGAGATATGATTTTTAAATTTTAAGTCTGCTAATTTAAGAGTGAAACGGTAATTTCAATTAGGATTTCTTATTTAAATGGATGATGGAATCTCAGTTATTAGTTAAGGAACATAAGTATATTAAACTATTTGTTTAAAATACTAATAATTCGCATGAAAAATCATTAAAAAAACAATTTAGATATAGAAATGAAAAAACATTAAAAGAGATAAATGATAAAAAAATAGATAAAATATGCAAATCTAGAAACAAATTTGATAATTTAAGATGATTAAAGAATAATTTTGTTGACTAATTTTGAGAAAAATGTGGGATGTGTGAAGTGTATTTTAAGAAAGACAATAAAAATAATAGTAGAGATAATAAATATTTAATTGAGAGAGTAGACAAATTTAATATTTTTATAAATTTTATATTATAATTTAAAATACAATCTAACCAAAAATATATCAAATTATATTTATTAGATAATTAAAAACTAATCTAATTGGATGGAATATTTTTTATATTTAAAATCAATTCAATCCCATCCACAATTACTAATTCTCCTCGTCCAAAAAAAAAATAATAACAAAATGGGTTTTTAAATAAAGTACACAATATATTTATTTGTTTAGGACACGAAAGTAATCTTATAGATTAGAGAAACAGGAAGGAAATGGGTGGTAGCGAGTGGGTGGGATGACTGAATTAGGTGACGAATGACTCATAAATCACATTTCTTAAGATCTTATTACTTATTTTGTCCATATTTATTTATATAATAAAAATTAGCAGCCAATATCAGAGTTCGTAAACGAAGAATTTAAAAAAGAATTCATAAAGCATTATTTAAAAAAGATAAAATTGGAGTTACCAAAATAAAGAAGATAAAATGATATAGGAAAATATTTGGAATATAATATAAGTTTGGGAAGCTGGGATCTAAGGCGCCAGAAAAGCTTAGGCGAATTAATATTATAGAGTCTCTCGTCGAGTTGAAAAAAGAAAAAGTTTGGTTAGATAAACGCAAACAATCATATTTGTTTGTATAAATAAAGAGCGTGTCTGCGCAAAATCTGACTCAATCAAATTCAAAGCTTGTTTTCTCTTTTCCTCTCTCTCTCTACACTCCAATGTCGGCTCTCTTCTCCATTGCCTCCTTCGTTGTCTTCTCTTTCAGGTGACAGATTCTAAACATTGCGTCTTTTCTCATTTTTCCCAATTCTCGGAAACCCTAATTCGATTCGGGTTTTTTGTAGGTTCTAAAGGGAAGAGAGTCTTTGTGGCAATGGAGGAATCGAGCCAGCTGAAGCGTGCCATGATTGATTCCTGGGCTGGGGCAATTGCTGGTGGAATATCGCGCACAGTTACCTCGCCCCTCGATGTTATTAAGATTAGATTCCAGGTATCTATATGTTTCTGTTATGTTTTTGGTTTCAATCTTTTTTTTTTTTTTTTTTTTTTTAATTGTGTTGTTATTTATTTTTATACAAAAAAACAGGTTCAGTTGGAGCCCACTTCTACATGGGCTGTACTACGCAAGGATTTGGCTGCAGCTGCGGCTGCATCATCCAAATACACTGGCATGTTTCAAGCAACCAAAGATATTCTTAGAGAAGAAGGTGTGCAGGTAGTGAAATCAGCAAACCCCAGATTTTGTACCCTTTTGGGTTTGTTTTTCTTGTTGTGTTTAAATCTAATAGTCTTTATTCTTTGCAGGGGTTTTGGCGGGGGAATGTACCAGCATTGCTCATGGTTATGCCATATACAGCTATTCAGTTTACAGTTTTGCACAAGTTTAAGACTTTTGCCTCCGGTTCTTCCAAGACAGGTTTCTATTTTGTTATTCAGTGTCCCAGTGTAATGTCTTCGCTGACACTGTTTTTTGTTTAATAGACATGCACTGTAAGTGTAAAAGATTTTACACTTTCAGGTAATAAAAAAGTATACTTGGTTTGACCTGAGAAAGTTATTATTAAAGTTAGCAAATTTACCATATATGCAGTCTATGATCGGATGATAGTTTAAGAAAGCTTTACACTGCCTATACAAGTATTGGTTGTTCTTTTTATTTTTTAGACCTAAGTGGTGTTTTATCCGGGTGATGCTGGCTATTAGTTTTAACTTTTAAAATTTAGGTCCATAATCTCTTTAAATTTATTACAGTATATTGCTAAAGTCAATTCTACCAATTTATTTTGCATAAGCTTCTTTTGGGGAGGAGGGTGTTGTCTGTAATTAATGGACGTGTATGTACAATATATATGCAAAGCCAGAACATACATCCATACACTCAGCACACTTTAGAAAAATATAACTACTTACTAGGAAATGTCTCTTTTCTTATCCAATTCTAGTTTATTGTTTGTTCATTGGTTACTTTTTTGTTTCTGCAGAGAATCACGTTAATTTGAGCCCTTATCTATCCTACATCAGTGGGGCATTAGCTGGATGTGCAGCTACAGTTGGTTCATATCCCTTTGATCTTCTCCGAACCATATTAGCTTCTCAGGGTGAACCAAAGGTATAAACATTATTAAATTCAAGGTTACATGAGATTTTCAAAGTAAATTTGTGTAATATTTACTAGTGTTCTGAAGGTAGTGAAGAAAATTACTGGTTTGCATTTTAAATAACACTCTTGGGTGAGGAATTGATAGAAGAACATTTGTCCTTTGGCACTGGCAAAACTATGTTGCCCATGTTGCCACTTTAAGGATTGCTACAGCTGAATATAAGCAATGTGTCAATCCTTTGAGTACTATTGGCTGATATGAGGCCTTCATTGATGATTTAATGAACTCCTCTTGCTTATGTTATTGATGATCTTCTGTTTTGCTGCGTGGAAATCCTGATCCCTGATGTTGTTTTGGTCCTTTTGAAGCTCTTTTTTGTAACTAATCTTTGCAAATATCTTGCCATCATTTAGGTCTATCCAAACATGAGGTCAGCACTACTTGATATCATTCATACTCGTGGATTCCAAGGCTTGTATTCTGGATTGTCGCCAACTCTAGTGGAGATTATACCTTATGCAGGCCTACAATTTGGCACCTATGATACATTTAAGCGATGGTTGATGGTAAAATTTCAGTCCTCTATAACATCTCATTTTATTTGTTGATGATCGACATAATTATGTCCTGCATGCAATGGATGTTATCCTTTGGTCATTTTGCAACTGTAGTGTGGTGAGATTGTAAATTCTCTTGGACTCTGCATGATTCAGCTTGTTATGCTTCGTAGTATTTTGCCATCATTTTATATAGTCTTGGTGGGAGATAATGCTAGATGAATCAGAATGACTTAAAATGCATCATGAAGTTATTCAGTTATTCCTAATTATCTTAGGTTGTAATGACTGCTGATTCAGCTGTGAGGATTGCTACATGTGTCTCACCTTTTCAGTTTATTTTGATTTTTTTTTGTTTTTGGATTATCGTTCTACCTGTTGCATAGCCGCATAGGTTATCAGCAAGGACTCTTCACCTGGATTACTATTGCCTTTACTTGTGAATCACTAAGCTTGGACATGTTATTTGCACTAATAATTCTTCTACACCACAGTTTCAATTTTGAATGAGAAATAAATGCTGTTCATGCCTCATACCTGTTGATAGGTTTTCTTTTTAATTATAGTTTAGAATTTTATGTTAAAGTTGTGTTGAATTGTTAGCGAAAGAGTAATGGAACCTTGGAATTATGTCACTCCGAATTTACTTCCACTTATAGGTTGTAATCTTGCATTAAAGATGGGATTGAACTCCTTCATGCAGCTGATGAATGTTTTGTTTCAGTACACTTGACAGTAAAATTTTTGCACCTGTTTACATATCATGTATTGGGTGTGTATAATTGTAGGATTGGAATCGTAGATACTCATATTCCAACACTGCTACAGCAGATAACCTCTCCAGCTTCCAGCTTTTCCTTTGTGGGTTGGCTGCTGGAACATGTGCCAAACTTGTTTGTCATCCGCTTGATGTCGTCAAAAAAAGATTTCAGGTAAACCTTTGCGTTTATTAAGTACTAGTACACGGAGTATTTAATCAAATTTTTATTATAGAATTAAGAGTTCTAGTCTTCTAGAGACCCTCACCCTTCAATCCTAAAAAATGTATCCCTGTGATTATTTCAGGCCGGATACGTGATTCTTTTTAATTCATCTGAAACAAGTAGTTGATATTAGATAAAACTGGACTTATGTTATTCTATCCTTGTCAATGTTGTCATGGATCTTTATTCTCTGTTTGCTACAGATTGAAGGGCTTCAAAGGCATCCAAGATATGGAGCTCGAGTCGAGCATCGTGCATATAGGAACATGTTTGATGCCATGCAACGGATAATGCGGTTAGAGGGTTGGGCTGGTCTGTACAAGGGGATAATCCCATCAACTGTTAAAGCTGCACCTGCTGGTGCTGTGACATTTGTTGCTTATGAATTGACATCAGATTGGCTAGAGTCCACTTTTAGTTGAATTTTCCCACTTCTTCATAATTTTTAATCATATTCTTTTTAAAATACAAATTAAGTCCTTCCTAGTTTAGGAAGAAAGTTTAAGGGATTACTAATTTGTTTTAATGATAGTGGTAGTTGATATTGAACTTCCTCAAGATGGAAGATTTGTTCTTTATGCTTGCATCTGATTTTGAATTCCAAATGTAAATTTCCAAAATATGATGCAAAGCCTGTCTAGGAATGAAATTTGTTTGGATTCAACCTATATTTGCTGTGATGATTCTTTTGCATCCTTTTGTTAGACATAATAGCCTTTGCTCAAATTTGTTATTTATGTAGCCATCCTAAATATACTGAGTTCGTCTTTTTGCAAGCCTCAAGATTTGAATTTATGAAGGTTGTATGTGAAAGCTCGTCCTTTTCTATTCCTTTGAAAAAGAAAAGGCCCCTCCTGGGTTAGGTCATTTATCCACAAGTTTGAGTTCTGCTGTTATTAACAAACCAATTTGTTTTTTGTTTTAATGATTGGTGGTGACTTGTGTTACGTGATAGATCAGGGCCTCTCCCTCCAAATTTGGGAGGTACCGGGTGAAAAAGAAATGAGATTTATATAGTTTCATGACATAGTAATATATAAGAAAGAAACATGAAAGCGTCCGAGAAAAATATCGAGAAAAATATCAATACGTATCATATTTTCAAGTGTAAAATTTTGATAGAAAAGACACAAACCAGCGGGTGATCCGCATTTAATATTAGTTGGTATTCAACTCGTTACGATTTCATTACGAGATAAGGTGCATGACAAAACAATGTCGTCTATTAGAGTTGTAAATAGGATCACATTGTGGGCCGAACTCAGTAATTTAACTCGCCAACTTGTGATATTGTGTGTTAAACTTAATAGGTTAACTTATCTATTTTTATGGATTGAGTTAGATAAATAAATTTATTAATTTATTAATTTATTTTTTTTATAGTAAATTTATGTTAAATTAATATTTTTTATGATTTAATTTCTTTTTTTAGATAATTATTCTTATTTTATATAAAATAGAAACTATACTATTTTATTAACATGTTTTTTTACTAGTACATTATGATGAATGTCTTTTTAATAAAAATATATATTATTTTAATCTTTTGTATGAAAAAAATATAAATTTATTAATTAATTTTATAAATAATAATAAAATTATAGGTTGAAACAATAATATATTTTAAAAAAATTTAATAGAGATTTTTTTATATAAAAAAGTTAGATAAGTTGAAGGTGGGTCAACTTGTTAACTCAACAACTCATTAACATGGATCAATTCGTCAACACACTGTTAAGTAGAATGAATTATATTTTTTAATTTGTTTTCTTCGGTTGGTCAACTTGTTCTACCTTGTTTCTTTAATACTTTTAATCTACTCTACTCAATTTCAAGTAAATTGATTCATGTTATTACCTTTATGTATAAAACTAGAACATCACAACAATTAAATATTTAACTAAAATTTCACATAAATATTATTATAGTAAAAGTAATTATGTAAATTGATCTAACTCATTTTAGATTTTAAAAATATCAATACAATAACAATTTAAACTAAGATAATAATAGTTGCATTGTTGAATTTTCTAAGATATGAATCTAGTTAAGACATGAGAAGGTCTCCCTCTCTACACCAACTATTATAAATTTGTTATGGTTGTAAACATTCAACAACATTATCATTTTTCATAACTTTGTTAATCATTTTGTACAGAGACATGTCCTAAGTTGTGGCTTAAGGACTGCCTTCAAGTTATATACATATCAATTACCTCCTTATGTTACACACCAACCACTGAGCAAAATCAATATCTTCATCCTTGTATTCTTAAGATTTGTTGGACTTCTAAAATTATAACAATTACATTTATCAGTCATTAGAAGTTGACTCAAGAAGGAACTAATGTTATTTATCAAATCAAAGTTGTTCTGATTCAAGTCAAAGGAATTGGTGGAAGTGATCAAATTGTTTTAGAATATGAAACACAAGGTGCCAAAGATATTAGATATGAAAGTTAATCGAAAATGTAGGTTAATCATGGACAACTTGAAGGTCATTTCAGGTGAGTACCACAAAAATTACTCTTTAAAATGCAAATTAAGACACTCCTTAACCATAACAAACATGAGCTAAAATTTAGACTAAAATGAGCATGAAAGCTAAAATTGAGACTACCTTTTAGTTTTGTCAACTCTAAAAACTAACTTGACCACAAGTGTCAATTTTAATGACTAAAATTTCCAATCTAATCTTAAAAGTTTTTTTTATACATGGATTGTATAAATGTGCACACACTTACACATACACATAAATATAGTATAATTATATTAATAAATTAACTAAAAATAACATAATAAAATATATTATTTAATAATTTTAATTAAAATAATTAATTTTTAATAACATATAAAAAAAATTAAAAGTTATATAAGAAAAAATTCTTATTAGCCTTGACTTAGACACGCTTGTGTGGATAACAAATGTATTCAATAAATATTTTTAAAATTTCTTAAATATAAAAATTAAAATAATAATAAGTATGAAATTCAATAATCAATTAAGTCTGATTAGATTTACGTAATTGAATCAATAATCTATGTATATATTTATATAAAAAGAAATGACAAAAGCCTTTAAATTTTTCTATATAAATTTGTTTTTATTTAATTTTTTAGTTGAATGACTTGAATTTATTTTGTGTGCTGTAATTTATTAATTTTCTGCAAGGTAATTATAAAAATTAAAAATTAAAACATAAATTACATTTAGAGAAATTTTACGGTACCCCTAAAAATTTAAAAAGTTTTGAAATTATTTTTATTTTTCTTAAAAGAAATATGCAAACATTTGATATTTTAGAAAAATTTGATTATATTTATTATTTTTTTAAAATTCTTATGTATATATATATATATATATATATATATATATTATATGAAACATTTGAATTTACTAAGGACATTTTTTATATATTATGAGTTATGATAAATTGGAAATTTTCATATTTGTATGTAAATTTTGAAAAAGAAATTGAATAAAAAATTTATAAAATCTTTCTCTCTTTTAACAAATAAAATTTTATTATTTTTTTCAAAGTTATTTGATTTTTAATATATGATTTAAAATACTTGAATTAATATTAGATGAGAAAAAAAGATAAATTAATTTCTTAAAATAATCTGTTTGTCAATAACTTATCACTTAGTGTAAAGAAAAAAATAAAAAGAAAAAAAAATATACTTTAAATTATTTTTATTGATTTTAAAAATTGACTATGATAAAATAGTACCGTAACAACTCCTTTGTATGTGGTTACTGTGAATGACTCATGAGACGCACGTGTGGATGATTTCATTATTGGGATATCATTATGGACTAGGAGAGATTATTATCACAGAATTCAAGCAGGCCAAAATATTTGGTGAAATTTAATAAAGAAACTGACAACTGCATTCAGCTGAGGTGTAATTTATGTCTGAGACCAATAGTTAGTTGGAAGTACAAAATTTTAGAAAACAATGAAAACTAAACTAAACTTTTAGGTTAGATTATGAAGAATTTTTATGAAAAGAATGTTTTTGAAATTTTCATTTATGACTAGCAATAATACTTTAACAGAATATTGATATTTAAAAGAAAGGAAAAAATATCGTAGCATACTGGCACGTGTTATTTTTCAATTAATAATATAAAACAGAAAAAAAAACATATAATTTCGTCTCACTTACTAGTTATTTCAGAAAAATGTTTGAAGTATTTTGAATAGTCACGTAGCCACGGATATTTAGAAATTAAATTCTATATTTTAAAATATTTGTAATTTTTATTATAAACCATAAAATTTTTCTTAAATATAATTTTCATCCTTGAAAAAAAATATTAAATTTAATATTTGATCTATTAAAAAATCCATCTGGTCATAACTTTTTTTGAAACTATTTTTAGTCTTTTATCATTAGATTATCATTAAACAATGTGACAAAGAAATCATTAATACGTTATCACTTATCAAAATAAATTTAAAAATAATAATATGTATTTTATTTCAATAAAATCAAGAATTAAATAAAATAAATTGTAGGAGTTAAAATACAAAATGATTTTTTTTAAAAAAAATTCTGAAAGCCCTTATAACTTTATTCAAAACTTTTGTCACATGAACTTATAGAGACACGCGGTGAGATGTGATGTTGCTGATAGTAAAAGCTTCAAAATTTTACTTTCAAAAGAAATTATTCTCTCTAGAGTAAAACAATGCCAAACGAAATTTAGGTGTTGTTGAACATAAAACAAAATTAGACAAAGCCATTGTCAAATGTCAATTGCAGAGATTAAAATTGTCAGAATGAAGTTTCTAAGCAAAATATAATTTCTAAATATTTTGAGAATTGTATAAAAAAAATAAAAGGAAATAAAAAAAAAAACTCACATAAAGATAATTAATTAGCACGATGTTACGATACATGTATTTCAGTCAACCATTAATTTTGTTTATATCCAATTTTTAGACCTGAAGTCCCTAAACTCGATATATGGATCCAAGATCAAACTTGCCTATGCTAAAATAAGGTTACCCTTGCATTCAATAAATAAGATATGACAATTATCACAAAAATGAAAAAGAATATTACGACAAAGCAAGTGACAACGATGTGCAGGTCAACTTCTTGTTTGGGGAACAAAGTCCAGATCCAACACAAGTGCTTGGACCCAGATAACGTTGAGGGACAAAATCAAGCCTTAAACACCCATATGAGAATTGTCTTGAGGGTTGACTCTTCTAAGTGTGGAATAACAAATATTTATAAATCAATAGCTGATTTTAACATCATCACAATTTATTTTACTCATGCGTGCATATTTTATCAAATCTATGCTGTTAATCAAGGAGCATTATTATACTTTATCTTCTAAAAAATATTTACCACTTTAATCTAGTCAAAGTCCACTTTGAAATGCTATAGTCGAATGAGATAGAGGACAACATTTTGGAGGTAATGGTAGGGTGAAGTGCAGAATGGCCTTCTAGTTCAAAACTTGGGAGGAATAATGTACTCGGTGGTGTACTGAAAGTACCCTCTAGAGGCAAATCTCTCATTCTTTCCAGTAAATAATAAAATACGATGGTTTGTAAAAGTTAACAAACTCATCATATCATATCATATGATAGTGTATAACTATTTTACACTGTCAATCTATAATTTTTTTCCATAAAATATTTAGTATGGGGCAACTAGCAAGAATTGTGATATCTGAATCGAAAAGGCAAATGCAAGTTATTTCAAACAACCAGCAATTAATTATGATGAAATCACATCATATATGCATGTATAATGAATGTTTGGAGTCATGACCTAGGAGGACACACCCATACAGGGGAAAAGCCTATGGCAACTGCTCCTTTTCCTTTATTCTGTCACCAGTTTGACAGAAATCGAAGAGGTTAAAAATCTAAGTAACCCAAAATAATAACCAAAAAGGAAAAAAAAAACTACAGTCCTAATGTGCATTTGGCTTACTATGTATTCTGTTCATAACCAGGCAGCATTGACAAATCACCTGATCAATAGGGGGCAGCAAGTGTTCCGTGAAACCTTGTCTGAAATCGAAGACTGGCACTACAACTAAGAAATGATAAAAGCATAAAACCTGAACTCCAGGAGACTACTAGAAACCTCAGATTCTGTTGATTGCTAAGCTGAGTTGACCAGAGGAATTTCTCTGTGTAGTTTATAGTACATTCTCTTGGACAGAAAAGACTTGAATACCATGCTATAAAAACACTTCCTTTGAAGTTTGTATCTAACATCCATGATGTGCATAACCACTTCAATGAGTGAAAAGGCTGACTATATTGTTTGTCAAGCGCTGCCATCTAAAAATATTGAAAACAGGTTTAGCTTGAAAACTCAGTTTCATTTATCCTTCATTACACTTGGAGCCTGTGTCTATCACATTACTGTCACTGCTAGGGCTACCATTACAGATAACATCTGTTTTTTCCTCCTTTTCAAAACCAGTACCACTAATACTAGAACCTGCCACTTTGCGAGATACACGTCGAGAAGGTCTTGTTATTGAGCTGTCCTGGTGATAATCTCTGCTTTTGCGCTTCTCCTTTCTGTCTAGATATCCAAAGGCAAAAGCTTCAAGCACTTTTGTTGTTGGTGGCCTATTTCTGGTGCTCTGCCTCCGGGTGTGCATGTCAGGCTGATGGTCAGGGTGATCCCCAAGTTTGGAGTTTGTTCCAACACTGAGCTCATCTGATTCCTTGCCTGTGTTATTTTGCTGCATCACAACCACTTCATTCACAAGAGGTTCATCAGCTTCAACTTCTGGTGAAACAGGTAAGTTAAGGTCAATCATAGTCCGTGGCTGGGGTTTATCACATTGATCCTTAGCACCTGAAGAACTAGTGTCAGGAACAGCTTCTCCATTGATGATTGAGCTGGGGTTTGACAGAGGATCTGCTAATATTTCGTTACTCTGGGTTGGAAGACCTGCAGATGACTTTATCTCCTGGGGTGGTATTTCCCATGAAAGAACACTCTCAATAAACTTTGACTTTTGAGGACAGTAACTGGCTTCCTCTTGTTTTACTCCGGGAGCCACAGAGAAGTTGGCAGTTACATTTGCACTAGATTTTGAGTTGTCTGGATCTGGACAAAAACTGGCCTCATCTTGTTTTACTCTGGGAACCACAAAGAAATTGGCAGTGTTACTATTTTTCTTTGCACGGCTACAGGCAGTTAATCTCCTCCGTCTTTTTGTAACCGGGACTAGATCGTTTTTGTTATCAGATACCATTCTATGAAGTGATGGGAACTTCATACCATCTCTTTTGAGTGTGTTACTCAACAATTCTGTCTTCTGGCCCTTGCAGGCAGCAGATAAGCTACTAGAACCCATGCTACTCCTTGGAAGCTCCTCTTTCGAAAGATTGTTTTCTAAACCATTCAAAAGCGAAGAGACACCTGTACCAATATTAGATTTACTGGCTTTAGTAATGTCATTCTTCCCTTTATCAAAGCATGTCATATTGACAGACCCGGATTCATTTGTTTGCTCCTCAGAAGTATTCTCATCATCCGAGTCATTTTCAGAAGTACAAGCTTTTAAAACTTCAAATGGCAAGCTTCTCAGTTCTCTCACCTTTGTCATCTTTTCACTAGCCAGACTTGTGTCCACGACAGTAAATTTCATGACATCAGTACCACGGTTTGGAGTTTTTACCTTGAGATAGCAGTAACGTGGTTGATTAGGGGAATTTTCGCAGTCCAGTTTTGTATCTTTTGTCCACCCATTTCCTTGCTTGCTAGTGCCATCATTATCTGCAACTGTCTCCAGCTCAATTAGCTCAGGGTCAGAAGCAACTTTACACAGGACATCACTAACGGAGTCAAAATAGTGATTCCCCTTTACTAGTTTCCTTGAAAACTTCTTAACTCCTGGGACAAGGAAGACCAGAGAATGCTTAGAAGCAACAGCATAATTATGACTATCTGGCTGCTCAGAGTGCCAACCTCTGGCAAGTAAACAAGGCCAAACAGCTTCCCAGAAGAGATCACTTGTTCGAGCTTTACTTAATCTGAAATCACCTGTTAGAAAGCTTATTATTTCTGAAGGTGTCAGCATTGAACATGCTTTGCCAACTGGTATTTCTTGGCGAACAGGATTTGCTTGGGTGGACTTCATAGAATCTATATTAAGTCCTGTAAGATCTTCTTTCCCCTTACCAACTCCTACTCCCTCAACAAGAGCTTTGAGCCCAACTGAGGCCTTTAAAGTTAAAACATAATCTTCTAGAAGCATTTTCCCCTCTACAAATGCCTTGGACACCTACCAATTAATTGAATTTTAGTCATAATAACATATTTCTTATGATAAATAAAATATGAATTAACAGGCAGTAGACCTGCTAAGATAACAGATTGTTCTGCATAAATAATGAGGTCCAAGATGCAAAAGATGAAAAGACTTTTCAAACTACGATAAAAAGGTGATGCATTCAGATGATCAAACTAGAATCAAAATTATTGTTATGTTACTCAGAACTTTTCTATTATGATATATAGAAACAAAACTCAATTAGGTGCGACTTTGAGTACTCTTGATTTAAGCACTACAAATTCTATTGAAAAAATAGCTTTGAAAATGATTTCCACCTTCAACCAAAAGTCATCATCATTTTCAGAAGTGATGTTTATACGAGAATAAACAATTGACACATGTAAACCCTGGCATTTTCAAAAGCTGCTTTTTTTTTGCATATGGTTGAGAGGGAGGAGACATGGTCAATAAAGGCGAATGAAGGATTGGTAGATCCAATTCATGGCAATCATGATACTAGCATAAACTTTGGAAGAATTTAAGTACCTCAATTAATTTATTGTAGCATTCCTCTGACACAATTGGTAGTAATCGAGACAAGAGCTCTTGTTGCCTTGGTCCTGTGAAAATTTTTTGGCCATAAATGCATTTTCTGCTTCTCATTTTTCTGCATCCAGACCATCTTTGATATTTGTCCGATTTATAAAATTTCCCATAATAGAATGACAGTATATCTCCCATCTTCTTATTGCCAATAAATCTTTTCACCTGAACAAGGTTCTTCCCAAATATATACAAGCCAAGGATGAAACTGGCCTCTTCAATTTCATTCCAGGTGTCACATGCAGACCCAGGAACTAGACAATGGCCTTTATCTCTATGCTTCTCGATCTTTGTTTCTTGCTGCATATTGGAATTTGCTGCTTCTCCCAATTTCATTCCATTGACCAATGTACTGTCAACAGCCACCAGTTTAGGCTTCAATTTATCACAATCCAGACCATTTGAGGTCTCTTTTATCCATTTGAGGTCATTTTTATTGGTAACTCCATTTGACTTGCTTGCATTTTTCTGCAAATTGTGCCTATGGTTCTCTACTTCATCCTTAATCCAAATTATTGGGATAGGTAACCCTACTCGAAACTTATAGAGAGTACTTGCTGTACTTTCTGCCTCATCTGGGTTCCTCAGAGACCAGTAATAGTCAGATTTTGAAATTAAAGGCGGAACTTCAACCTGGTACTGCTCACCCACTCGAGGAAATATATCCGGATCACCAAAAACATCATAAACACCAGAATGTTCTGGAGAAAGTGATTGTTCATCTGCTTGCTCGTCAATATAGTTCAAGCCATTAACTTGTGCTGCCTCCACCTGTCCAAAAATTTGAACACATTTTTAAAATTATATAAATAAATAAGCACACACATTTGAAGTGTATCAGGTGAGAGGAACTAATTTTAAGCATTCAATTTTACATAGACGGTCAGATTAGTTTTTATTTCAAGCTTCTATCTTTCATGTTGCTAGTGAGCAATAGTTGAATCTAAAGCTGATTGAGCCTTAGAATTAATATAAGGCATAGATTTAATATTGTCAACTCATCATTTTTTTCTAATTTACCGACAACAGAAACAAAGTAGCAAGAATAGACAGAGCCAGTATTTTCACTTCCTCCAAGATTTAATGGTAATGAGAATGTTGCACTTAACCTTCGTCTACGAGTCAGTCAGCTAGAGTCAAACCTGTTAACCTAAATTATAGACATCCTACGAACTCACAAGTAAGATTTGCTAGCCATGTTAGCGTGCGCGTAAACAAACTATTTTAGAAGCAGTAAGATAATAGCATTGCGGTACGATTTATATTTATATATAAATCATAATCCTAATCCCAATTATGACAAATTCCAATCAATCCGAAAGAAAAAAAAATGGAGAATTTTAAATTCATAAGAAAAAATAATAGAATTTTTTAGAAATAAAAAAATAATTATGCATACAATTATTATTTAATTTCCCCACAAAAAAATATAAAAAAAAAAAAAAAAAAAACTCACATAAGTAAAAAAAAAATCCCAAATTAAACAGCAACATTTAGGAATAAAACAACGAAGTTCAAGCAGATTCTGCATACCAACCAAATCAACAAAGAAGAACAAAACTTGGGTTTCCAAAAAAAAATTCACAACAACGAGTTGATATACATGTTTATATGAAAAAGTAGGTAACAAATAAGCGAGAGAAGCACCGAACGCAAACCTCGAACAAATCAACAAACCAGATCCATTCCCTGAACCAATATACACGAAGCGAGAACAAAGTCGAAGAGTCCAGACAAATGCATGAAAAAACCCATTCACCACATTCAGCTCTACGGAACGAACAACACTCAAACACGAACACGAACACGAGAAGAAAAACACACACGCACAAATATGTAGTATTAAACAAAAAGAAAGAAAGAAAGAGAGACATAGACAAGTTTTCCCAGTGAGAATTCCAACATGATCCAAGAAAATCAGATATTTAACGCGAGAACACAAGTTAAAGTACATTAAAACGGTACGAGGAGAGAGAAAAGAAGAAGAGATGTTACCTCCATGGACGAAGAAGAAGCGAGCGAGACCCACATGAAGAAAGCAAGCTGCGAAAATGGGTCGTGAAGGTTACACACCGATTGAAAATAAAGAAAACGTGAACAAGGCGTAGTTCTTGATGAAAAAAATAATAATAACATAATAACTATTTATTTTTTCTCTCACTGTCTCCGTACAAACACATATACATACAAAGTTGTAAATATAAAGAGAGAAAGAGAGTGGTACCTGCCTGTGTTAAGGGAGAGGAGCTTTCATGGCTACGAAGAATTAGAGAAAGAGAGAGAGAGAGAGGAGAAGAAAAATTGCACGAGCAAGAGAGAAAATAAAAACTAAAACCCAAGTCGTTCTCTCTTGGCTCTTGCTGATATATAGGGAAAAAGATATATGACAAATTAATCTAATTAATATAATATTAATGTTATTGTTTTTGAGAGAGAAAATAAGGGTTCTCGTCTGTGCAGGGGTTCACACTCACACTCACGCGCGTCTCGCGCGTCTCAATCAATAAATAATACTGACACGTGGCGGATTTCAAGATTCCAATCATACATATACTATGAGCTGAGCCTGAGCCTGAGCCTGGGAGTGAAGGATTTTGTTTCAGCTTTGGTCCTTCCTTCACCATATGAGATGCCATTGCCATTTCTAGTACTCACACATCAACCTTTGCAATTGCCTATCCTCTTTCCC